TAAGTGCAAGAAAATCTACTATGTGGTTTAGAATTTAAAATATGATTCACAAAACATTCAAAATGGATCTCAACCACAGGAAATAAGGAAATAAATGGAAACATTATACGGATATTACTACTAGACCACATTAAAGCGTTCCATTCGCACGTGTTCATATTAAATGGAAACGTGTTCACTCTTGCAAAGGTGGTGACAAATTCAAAAAGTTAACTGTCATATCCAACTCAGGTGGAAAAATGATGATAATTCCAAGAATGCACATGCAAGATTAAGAAATTTGCTTCATTTCATTCTACCATTCTAATAGGTTTTCTAAATGAGGTTAACTAGTTAAAACCATTGATTGCACATTATAATATATTTGACTTTTTCTGCATTAATTCCATTCGCACCCGTACTTATTATACGAATACTACTACTAGACCACATTAAAGCAAATCGGTTAGTTGATTTTTTCCATTTTTCTTACATTCCTATCTAAAAGTAGTCTCTAGAGGCGCTTAGCTTCAAGTCTCAGAGCTATATATATATATATATATATATAACAGGGCCGCTTAGCTTCAGTCTCAGAGCTATATATATATAGTAATCAGCAATGATTCATCCCACTAAAAATATCACCACTAATAGCACTAATGCATTAAAAAAGTAAAAAAAAATACAACTTCAAGACCAAAACATCACATCATTAATGGCGGGACCCACTGCCACCTAATTAGTGGGAGCACTAATTAGTGCTCCCAAACATTTTTCTATAGTAATACAGGGCTTCAGTCTCAGAGGGGTTGAACATTTTCTTCTAAACTATATAATGCCAGAGAACCATCACACTACAACACTTCCTACTTCTGAAGATGAAGGAAGTATTCTCCCCTTTAACAATGCAATTGGACAGACTGCTGCGAGAGAAGTTTTGGTAAATTACATTGTCAAACCTGCTGTGACCAAATTGGGCTCTGAAATATTCAAACACTTCTATGCGCGAGGCTAGAACTTCGATCGCAGCATTGCGATTAAGATCTTCTTCTTTATGCTGCTTCAGGTCATTCTATTCTACGTAAGAAGATACATAAATCCTTTTTGTTTTCTATTTCAGATTGAAATTAGAGTTCACTAACGCTGTGTTTGGTTGGAAGATTTGGAAACGGATTTGGAAATGGAAAGGAAAAAAGTAAGTGAAATGTGAATAAAATAAACCTATATTTCACCTAATTTCACATTCATTTTTCAAATCCCTTCCTAAATCTCAACTAAATACAGCATAAGTCTTATTATTAATATTACATATTCAATTGAAAATATTATTCTTATATATATATATATATATATATTGACATATCTATATAGCATGACCACTTGATCACATGCATATACTGTGTTTAGTGGTCATGTTACTCAAGTGACAAAAAAATACACACATAATGTGTTAGATCACATCTTGCCTTTAATATTAATCTTCTTTTTTTGTCATTATTCTTATGATATTATTTTTTTTCGAGTTCTATATACATCGTATGTGCGAAACACTAATATATATACATATATATCAAGACAATTTTAACTCAGTTTTCTGAAAAATTGAGCCCAGTTTGGATTTTGGAAAGGTTTTTGAGAGTGCTAGATTTTTTCATAAATTTTTTACATTCTAAGTGTATTTAGATAGAGTCGATCCAAGTACTTTTAAAAAATAAAAAATATGTACATATATATATATTTCTATATATTTGTTAGTATTTAATCTTTTCAAAAAAAAATCATAAATTTTATACGTTTTAATATATTTAGATTGAGTGAATCTAAAAACTAAAAAACATTGAATAAAATATTCAAAAAGTTCACCATAAATATAAATCAAAAATCAAAAACAATTTTTGAAAATTTCAAAATCAAACTGTGTTTTAAAAATTATTTAAAAATTTGAAAAGCAAACTAGTTTTGAATTTTCAAAATTTTAAAAACTATTTTTAGAATATACAACTAAACAAGTTTTTAAATTTTGCCAACTCTTTTAAAAAAGTTACTTTTCAAAATTGATTCTGAAAACCAAACTAAACAAACACGAGTTTTTTGTTTTCCTTATTTTTTTATTTTTTAGAGAAATTTTTTAATATTTTATGTAATTTTTTATTTTTAGATACACCTAATGGTATACTTAAAAAGTATAATATTTATGAAAAACAATTTCAAAAAATTCATCAAATACAAAAAATATACAAAAATACTAAAATTTAGTACATTTTTGTAATTTGTTCTATTTAATGAATTTTATAAAAACATTTGTACAAATTATATATTTTTTAAGTACATATGAAGATTAAGTAGATATAAAAAGTAATAAATAAAAAAAATATTTAAAAAAAATACCAAAACTATGGTCTCGTTTTGTAATTTGGCTATTTTAACTTCTTTTTTTTTTTTGACTTTTTAACTACTTTGTTAGGGATGAACTGTGGAATTTTTTTAGTTAAATAGATGGTTGTAAAAGAAAAAATGATTGATTGAAGTGTAAGATGTAATATTTTGTCTTATTAGTTATTTTGGTCTCTTTTTTTTTTCTTTTTTTTCTTTTGGTTTTGTTTTGTCTTTATTAACTATTTTAATCAAGATCTAAGTTGCCAAACATGAGAGCAATGCTATAAACCACTAATTTGCCATTACTAATTCCACCACTAGTGAGGTGACAATTGAAAAAAAAAAACAAGGCACAAACATACTGTGAGAGTGGATGGGACCCACTGCCACATCATTAGAGCCACCACTAATTAGTGGTCTAAAGCATTTCTCCCAAACATGATGTACTAGTACTAGAGCAAATATATGTAATGTTATTTTAATTTGATTTTTATTAATTTAAATAGTACATCTATCACTTTATGTTAGTCTTTTAAAAAATAATTGGACAAGTATAAATATGAATAGTGTGGATTATTCTTTCAAAACCATCAAATATCTTCTCAGTTTGGTGAGAGGTTTTTTGGTACCCTTCAACACTACTCATCTTTTATGGCACTTGTTCCATCGTTTCTTAAAAAATAGTTTTAAATTGAAGAATCTTATTGTTCATAAAAATTCTTTAAAATATTTAAGAAAAAACTCCTAAATTTATGCTAATGATGTGTGATAATGTTAAACTCACAATTTGATATTTACAATGTCGAAATAACATTATCACTACAGTGCAAATGCTAGTTTTTGGTAAAGTTTGATTTTTGACAGTTGGACGTTTGATACTTGCACTTTTGGATACTGAGGTGAAAAAATGGGGAAAAAAGGGGAATGATTGTAGTAATGCAAAAAAGAAAGAAAGTGATTATAACTTCTTATTATTGTGATTGGATGAATAAAAGAGAACTTATTTGGATAGAGTCAATAAAAGAAAAGCAAAGAAAGTATTTGTTTCTCAATTCAACAAGTATAACCAAGCATCACTGGCAATATCTCTATTTGTTTCACCCCAATCTCTCTCTCTCACCGAAAACTCTAGTCCAGAATCTCCCCTCTTTTATCCCCAAAAACTAGGGTCTATATCTTCATATCTCTCTCATGATCTCACGGACTCTCTGTGCGGGTATCTGGTCTTTTTGCCGACGAACATGGTGTAGTCTCTCTCCCTCTCTGGCTTTCTCTCAAGATTGTAGTTGTATGATGGAGTTTTGGTGGTCCACCATTTCATATTGAGTTTTGATCCTTTGGGTTGAGTTTGTTACTCTGGGTCGTATTTTGTTTAATGATTTAGTGAAGCTTGAAGTACACCAGGATCTCAATCTTATTCTTCATACATCAATCTTTGCTGAACAAGTGAATCTTGGGTGGCCCTGGAGGTGTTGGAAAATGGGTCCTCCCTATTTTGGGACATTGGGGAATTTTGGGACATTTCCGATGTGATTTTAGGAATTTTTTTGCTAATACATATTTTCGTGGTTAGTGATTTGTTGTTTTTGATCAATTTATGATATTTTTCTGGGTTGGGTTTGTGTTTATATTGATAAATATTTTGGTATTTTTTTTTGAGTATGTGATTGTATGATTTTGTTGAGAAAACCAAATGAGTGAGACAGATTACAGTTGAATTTGATGATGTGATGGATTATAGCATTGCCAAAGCATAAGATTTCCGGCTTTCTTCTTTTTTTATTTATTTTTTTAGATCTCATCTCGCTATCAAGTGCCATTAAAGAAGACTTACAATCTAAAAAATGCCATTATACGAATTTCTAATGACGCCTATTATGCCGCAATTGATATTTTAACAAATTTAAAAATGCCACTAAACCCAATTCATTTGTGTCATAAATTGATATAAGTGTCTTCGGAGCTTATTCTAGTGACATTTTGCAAAGTTACTAACACTATTACGAAACGCCACTTATATGTTCTTTTTATTGACACTTTTAAAAGTCACAATTAAACATGCGTAAATGCCTGTAAAAATTATATTGATTTTATAAAAAAATTAATATTAACACCAAAACACCAAAATATTAACCAACCAAATTTCAGTCAAATGCACTAAAAAAACATAAGTTTTCTATCAATATTGACACCAAAACCAAAGCTCTTTGAGCTGAATTATGTTCTTGATGTTTTTAGACACTTAAATATAGGGGTATGCATCCCCAAGAGACAATTTGTTACACAAACACATAAAAATAATCTTGTAACCAAGTCCAAAATTTCAAAAAAACTGACTCAGAAAAGTTAGTATGGAGATATGCTTCAAGAAAACTTGAAAAATGGAGTTAAAATGGTTAAATGTAAGTTTGCAATCATGGGCATAAAGAAATTTTTTTGTGAAAACTTTCATATAACAAAGAACAAATCTTACATTTATGACAAAATCCTAGATGCGAATGTATGAAAATAGATATGATTTTTTTCCCCAGTAAACTTAGGTATTGTTGTGATTTTCTAGAGGTTTGGGTAGAAATTGCTTTAAGGGAAGCTCTGTTTACTAGTACTAAATGCATGTGTTACACAAACACGTACAAAAAGAAGTATAACCTCCACCTTTTCAAATATCCCTCCATTAATATAATCGTAAAAGCTTTGGGTACAAGTCAATCATCACAAGTAAAAGAAACAACCAAGCTAGTGTGAATCACGTATGTACCTTCAAAAGTACAATTTTTTGGCTGGTTAGCATGGGAAAACAGAGTTAAGACTGCTGATTTTCTTCGAAGGATAGGTGTTCTTCAAGGCAATGTCCCAATCCTATGTTTTTTGAAAAAATGAAGATGAATCTGTGGGCCATGTACTGTTGCATTGTCTCTTGGCTTAGAGAATATGGGCTACAATGTTAAATTGGTGGGATGTACAGGGGGCCTTGCCAGGTACAACTGAAAGTCTATTCCATTGGTGGGAGGGAGGTAGGTTTCTTGAAAAAGGAGAGGAAAATTTGGAGGGCTATACCATTGGCTGTTTCGTGGTCTTTATGGAAGATGAGTAATGAGTGTGTGTTGAATGCTTCTATCCCCAACTTGGTTGAATTGTGTGAGTTGATGAAGATTAGAATTGCTCTTTGGCTGAAGTCAGATTACAAGGAAGTTGTGTAAAAGAAAAGGAAGTAGAATAGAATGTATGTTGTGTGTGTATTCGTGGAATAAAAAATAAAAATAAAAAAAGAAAAAGAAAAAAGATGTTGGTTATATATTCATTAATAATTTAAATCATTGAATAAACTTGGAAAACGATCCCTAATCCTTTCTCAAATCCATAATCCTTGAAAAATTAACCAAAAAGTTAAGTGCATGAATTAGATTTGTTTTAAAATTGGCCTACATGACAGTAAGTTTGAATTTGATTTGCACTAAACATTTTATATTCTTTATCAGCCTAAAACAAACAGGATCAAAATGTCCAAATATGTAGCAATCTAAAGCTTGGGGATGATCCGAGATATATTTGTGTTTTTCAAAAGGAGTGCTCTGGACCTATTTCTTTGTTGAAAGGAGAGGGTAGTAGGCAAGCAAAGCAAAAGGGCTTGGCTTTTGGCACCTTGTTAAGAATCAAAAGAAAATTTCGTATAATTAAAACTACAATCCATTTTGTTTGTTCAATATATCTTCACCTTGAAATTCAAAAACCCTAAATCATTTCATAGAATAAATCATCTTACCTATCACACCAATAATTAGTTCAAAAAACCCTAAATCTTGAACAAAAATCAAAACTCAAGTACTCATTTCACAAAAATCAAAATCTTACAACATCAACCCAAAAAAAAAAACCCTAGAGCTAGAGTGAAATGGGAAAATAAAGGGAGAGAGAGAGAGAGAGAGAGAAAGACCTGAATGTCGATGAGAGCCGAGGAGACGGTGACTGACCGACGGTGAGCGACTATGACAGAGAGGGAGAGCAAGACTCTGTTTGGTGTATGTATCTGTGATACAGAGAAATAAAAATTAATAATATTAAAATCAAACATAAACTCAAATTGGCTTTGTGTTTCTACCAAAAAATTTGAGCTTTATTGCCAACTAAATATTTTTTAGTCAACGAAACTATATATTTGCTGACCAAATCAAATAGTCGCCAAAGATTTAAAGTAAAATTATTCTATTTATTTGGCTACTAAATTTATTTTAGTCCCAAAAATTAGTATATAACGACTAAATATTATTTGGTCACTAAAATTGTATATTTGCCGACCAAATCAAGGAGTCACCAAAGATTTAAAGTAAAACGGTGATAGTAATTTGGCTACTAAATTTATTTTAGTTGGCAAAAATTAGTATATCACGACCAAAATAAACTTTAGTACCCTAAAACCTGAATTAACGGTGACCAATATTTTTTTAGTCGCCTATTGTGGCATATTTAGTGACCAAAATTTTTTTAGTCACCAAAACTTAATATACAGCTGCTAAAAAAATTTAGTAGCTAAAACCTTAAACGACAACCAACATAATTTTTAGTCACCTATTGTACAACTTTTGGCGACTAAATTCCTTTTTGTTGCAAAATTTGGTCGCCAAAAGTGTAAATTGTTATATGTAGATTCAAATAGGTAGACTTGTTGTCTAATAGATCCTGAGATAATTAATGATATTTTTCATAAAACACTATTAAAAAAACGTTATTAAATGTTATTTGATGATGTTCAATGAATTTTTGACACTTACAAATTGATGCTTTTTATTTTTGTTAGGCAAATAAAATAATAATATGGTGTTAGTTAGATCACATCCTCTAACCATTGTAATCTCCTTCCAATCCAAGTGTATCAAAACTCAAAGCAAGCGTGCATCTAATCCCAACCTGATCGACTTGCAAGGACAAAGTGCCAAAAAGGCTTGCACCTTGTTTGGTTTCAAAACTTAAAATACAATTTATTAATTTTTTTGATTTTACTGAACATTTAATATTTTAAATAAAACTTGCACTTAATATGCAACTAAAAATTAAAATATTTGTGAAAAAGTTTAAAAGAAATTCATGACGAATAAATAAAAATGGCACATTTTCATATTTTTTTTATAAATTTCTACATAAATAATTTATTTTTTGGGTACATTCAAAAAATTAAAAAATGACCAAAATATGAAGAAAAAAAAATTTCAGTACAAAAAAAAAAATCAAAAATTAAACTAAACAGACTTCTATATTTGCATGACCAAATCTAATTTTTATCCTGTAAAGTCATAATAATATACAGAGAAATACTTTATGTCACCGTTTTGTCCCACTACATATGTAGATAATCATAATTGGTTCCTTATTTGAAAATAGTTATTAAGAAAATAATAAAAATAAATAATAAAATGTTATGTATCTGATTATATAAAACAAAACAAAACAAAATAAAACAAAACAAAATTAACAGGTCACAGTAAATTATTTTCCTTAATTGTTGATGTAGCCTCTCTATTTGTAAACATCAATGTAGCCTCTCAGCTATGAACACATACATTTTATCCCTTTCAATTATAATTTTTTTTCACTTTTACACCGTCAAAATAACTTTCAAAAGGGGTGTATGTATATGATTTGTATAGTTAAGGACGTCAATATGAACATGTTTATAGATAAATGGAATAAAGTGATATTTACTATTAATTGAGAGATTTTGGTGTAATTAACCTTTTTCCCCCTTGCCGTACCGTTCAAAATCATACAAATTCGTGTCTAAAACAAGATTGATTTCTACAAAGTTGATGCCATCCTGAAGGGATTTCAAATCTGTACTTAAATATATTCTAATAATTAAAAAAAACAATATTAGTATTAATTATGTACTTCTTCCTTCACTCTTGGAAAGGTGGTGACAAATTCAAAAATTTAACAGCCATATCCAACTCAGGTGCAAAAATGATGATAGTTCCAAGAATGCACATGCAAGATTAAGAAATTTGCTTCATTTCATTCTACCATTCTAATAGGTTTTCTAAATGAGGTTAACTAGTTAAAACCATTGATTGCACATTATAATATATTTGACTTTTTACAACATCGACGTAATTACTTAAAACGTGTTCACTCTTGCAAAGGTGGTGACAAATTCAAAAAGTTTAACTGCCATATCCAACTCAGGTGGAAAAATGATGATAATTCCAAGAATGCACATGCAAGATTAAGAAATTTTCTAATAGGTTTTCTAAATGAGGTTAACTAGTTAAAACCATTGCAATTAAGATGTTCTTCTTTATGCTGGTCCTGGTCGTTCTATTCTACGTAAGAAGATACATAAATCCCTTTTGTTTTCTATTTCAGATTGAAATTAGAGTTCACTAACGTTGTGTTTGATTAGGGAATTTGGGAACAGATTTTGAAATGGAAACGAAAAAAATAGGTGAAATGTGAATAAAATATGTCTATATTTCACCTAGTTTCACATGCATTTTCCAAATCCCTTCCCAAATCTCAACTAAATACAGCATAAGTCTTATTATTATTATTACATATTCAATTGAAAATATTAATCTTCTTTTGTGTATATATATATATATATTGACGTATCTATATAACATGACCACTTGAGCACATATACTGTGTTTAGTGGTCATGTTACTCAAGTGACAAAAAATACACACATAATGTGTTAGATCACATCTTGCCTTTAATATTAATCTTCTTTTTTTGTCATTATTCTTATAATATTATTTTGTTTCGAGTTCTATATACATCGTATATGCGGACCACTAATACATATACATATATATCAAGACAATTTAAATCACTTTTCTGAAAAATTGAGCCCAGTTTGGATTTTGGAAAGGTTTTTGAGAGTTCAAGATTTTTTCATAAATTTTTTACATTTTAAGTGTATTTAGAATGAGTCGATCTAAAAACTTTAAAAAAATAGAAAATATATATATTTTTCTACATATTTGTTAGTGTTTAATCTTTTCAAAAAAAAAAAAATCATAAATTTTATACATTATAAATATATTTAGATTGAGTGAATCTAAAAACTAAAAAACATTGATTAAAATATTTCAAAACTTCACTATAAATATAAATAAAAAATAATTTTTGAAAATTTCAAAATCAAACCGAGTTTTAAAATTAATTAAGAATTTGGAAAGCAAACAAGTTTCGAATTTTCAAAATTTTAAAAACTATTTTTAGAATATACAACTAAAAAAGTTTTTAAATTTTGTCAACTCTTTTCAAAAAGTTATTTTTCAAAACTGATTCTGAAAACCAAACTAAACGGACTTGAGTTTTTTGTTTTCCTTATTTTTTTATTTTTTAGAGAAATTTTTTAATATTTTATGTAATTTTTTGTTTTTAGAAACACCTAATCAAGGTATACTTAAAAAGTAAAATATTTATGAAAAAAAAAATTCAAAAAACTCATCAAATACAAAAAATATACAAAAATACTAAAATTTAGTACATTTTTATATTTTGTTCTATTTAATGAATTTTATAAAAACATTTGTACAAATTATACATTTTTTAAGTATATATGAAGATTAAGTAGAAATAAAAAGTAAAAAAGAGATAAAATATTTAAAAAAATTCCAAAACTATTAAAATATGAATTAAAAATTTTAAAAACTCAAAACCATGAAGTGTAATATTCTAATTTCCATGCTATTTTAGGAATCTTCTGATCGTCTCAAAAGACTATTAGCTGTAATGTTGAGTATTTGAAATGATGTCATTGTGTCTGATGTGATTGTATTTGGTGAAATAAATTATGGTCTCGTTTGGGAATTTGGCTATTTTAATTGTTTTTTTTGACTTTTTAACTATTTTTTTTGGGATGCATATTTTAGTCTCTTTTTTCTTATTTAGTCTCTTTCTTCTTTTTCTTTTTTTCATTTTTTTTTTTGTTTGGTCATTATTAACTATTTTAATCAAGATCCAAGTTGCCAAACATGATGTAATAGTACTGGAGCAAATATATGTGATGTTATTTTAATTTGATTTTTATTAATTTAAATAGTACATCTATCACTTTATGTGAGTCTTTTAAAAAATAATTGGACAAGTATAAATATGAATAGTGTGGATTATTCCTTCAAAACCATCAAATATCTTCTCAATTTGGTGAGAGGTTTTTTGGTAGCCTTCAACACTACTCATCTTTTATGGCATTTTTCCATCGTTTCTTAAAAAGTAGTTTTAAATTGAAGAATCTTACTGTTCATAAAAATTCTTTAAAATATTTAAGAAAAAACTCCTAAATTTATGCTAATGATGTGTGATTATTTTAAACTCACAATTTGATATTTACAATGTCGAAATAACATTACCACAACAGTGCAAATGCTAGTTTTTGGTAAGGTTTGATTTTTGACAGTTGGATGTTCAATACTTGCACTTTTGGATACTGAGGTGAAAAAAGGGAAAAAAAAAAGCATGACTGTAACAGTGGGAAAACGAAAGAAAGCGAATATAACTTCTAATTATTGTGTTTGGATGAATAAAAGAGAACTTATTTGGATAGAGTCAATAAAAGAAAAGCAAAGAAAGTATTTTATTTTATTTTACCAAAATAACATTCCATATTAACAAGTTATTTTTTTAGTTTCTTCCCCCATAGGATAATTTTGATATTTTAAAAATGTTTCATTAAATTCATTTCTTTTCTCACTAAATTTCACCACTTTTGGTGAGAAACAAAACACAGTTTTGGTGAAAAAAATTTTCTCACCGTCTCTCATAATTATTCTCACGGTCTCTTATAATTTTTCACATACTTAATCATCCAAACAAGTTAAAGAGATTTCTTTTTCTCCTTTTCTTTTCTTTTCTTTTCTTGTTAAATTCCTCTATCCAAACAGAGTTTTGGCCTATTTTATTTTCCCATTTCTCAATTTAACAAGTATAACCAAGCATAACTGGCAATATCTCTATTTGTTTCTCCCCAATCTCTCTCTCTCCCCAAATACTCTAGTCCAGAGGATCCCCTCTTTTATCTCTCTCGTG